TTCGCGAAAGAGAATTTCAGAAACGGTTTGTTTAATAATATTACTTTTTGAATCTTTGAAAAATACGCACGAGTGGAAAATATATTCCGGATATATCCACGCGATGAAAAAAAACGAAGGATGGAGAGATGGAGGAGGAAGATTTGACGGATGCGGAAACGACGGGTCGCGTCTCGGCGAATTCGAATTCGATTCTCGTTGCGATATTATTTCGCGGGGCGGAACGTGCCTCGGCCTGAATTGCCGAAGCTTGAGGGAGCCTCTCATCCCCGAGAAGTGCCCGTTGGGTATTTAAGAAGCATATTCCGTCCATTTGGCATTGTGCGCCGTCGAATGGACACTTTCGGTCGTTGGGCGTTGAGAGAGGAGAGGCAGGCGAGGCGAGAGATCCAAGGATCGAGGTATTGATCGTAAGCGGCTTGCCCTGTGGGGACTTTACCTTTGTGCCACCACCATCGGCTATTCGCCTCGTAAGTTCACACCTTGGCATAATCGGAGTATCCGGGAAAGCAGGACGCGGCCGACCATTAGAGGCCGCGACATTTACACCGTAAACGGACACTCTCACAAAAGGGAACGTGTATTTAAATGCACCCCGATTCGTGTGAAAATAATTTTTCCTTTACACCGCGAACCGTTACTTTTAATCCAATGGAATTTCTACAGATTTAATTTCACTCGATCTTGAAGGGAACACAAGTTCTCCCAAATTCTATTCTAATTCAGAATTAGCAATCGTATGAATTTTCCATTTTCATTATCGGTGATCTCGAAGAAATTTCGCGTTAAACAAAGTTAAACAAAGTTAAACTTCGATAAAAGGATCGGCATATTTTTTTTCCTAAACGATGAAAACCTATTAGATATAATAATGCAATTTTCGTATTAATATCATTTCCTCCACTCGTGTCATTGTTCTAATATTGTAACGAAAAAGTGTAAGGATTTAAACTATGAATTAGTGCATAATTTCAAAAGCTGGTTAAAGCAACGCGTAACAATTATTATCGACAATACCACATACGTACATCTACTCTCCTCCATCTACGATTTCCCGAGTTAGAGAACTTGCACAAGGGAAAACTACCATTTGCAACAGCGCAAATAGGTAACCGCGGAATCCCTGATTTTTAAATCTCGGAGAAGGCAGGGGGGGGGGGGGAAATGTGTGTTTTCTTTGCCGGCGCGCGTAACGTACGCGCTTAAACGAGCGCGTGTGCACGCGTCTCTAAGTAGCCGCTGTACAGTACACCGAGAGTCTCGCTCTCTTCACGGGGGAGGGGAGGGGGCGGGGAGAGAGGGAGCTCCATAATGTGTAAGTAAGTTCATCGCGGGCGCGCTGATGCGTGTGTAATCCCGTGGTGCTTACCGATACCATCGTGGGTTTTATTTTCATTATTCATTTGTTCGCCCCGTTCCCCCATGGATGATGGCAAGGGAAGCTTACACGCGTAACCCCGTGTTTCTATGTTGGTTTAATCAGATAAAACCCCGGAACGCCAAAAATCGCCGCACGCTAAACCGAGCCGCGCCGTTCCGCTCTTTCTTCGTCAGAAAAAAAAAAAAAAAAAAAAAAAGAAAAGAAAAAAAAAAAAAGAGCGCGACCCCGATATTTTCGACACCCTTCGACACCATTCGAATTCTCGCTTTTGTCGATTCATGACAAAATTCGTCTCGTCCATAATGTTTCTTCTTCTTCTTCTTTTTTTTTTTTTTGAAGCGTAGGAAAATAGGTTGGAGGATAGAGCAGCGATAGGAGGAATGTGTTTGAAAAAAATTTCGAGTTCTGTGTGAATGTGTATGTTTGAATACTTATGCGGGTATTTTTGGAATATTTTGAAGAAATTTTTTGAAGAATATTTTGGAAGAAATTTTTCGTGGGTTTTATAGTAGCTCGGTTTCAATATTTCTTTTTTTATGCGTAAAATGCGAGTTAGTAGTGTGATTGGAGAATTGAAGAAAGTTTGAAGAATGTAGTTAGGAAGTTGTAACGTGTATAATGTGTATTATGGTATGTGTTGGTGTTATGCTGGTGTTTGTTTGGATTTTAATCAGATTGGTGAGGAGGATGTTAGAAAGGATGGGAAAATATTTAATTTCTTTAAAAACTGTACAAAGTGTGCTCCACAAACCGAAGATAATTAATCATCTCGCCCATAATTCTTCTTCTATTACCATAGATAAACGTATATCCTTTGGACTTACGAACAATCGCTTATCTTGTTTGTAATCCAATCAAATATGATTAATGAAAGAGAGGAAGGAGCGCGGATATGCGGAAAGAAAGAGAAAAAAGAAAGGGAGAAACGAACAATAATCATCATCGTATATCTGATGCGAAATCTTTTAAATCATCGCTATGGCTATTCGCTAAAAACGTGATCTTTCAAATCTTAGATTTAAAAAAATCTTCGAATAAACAAATCTCTTTTATCCTTTCGACGAAGTAGTACAACGGCACGAAGGAATGGAATGAAAAAAAAAAAAAAAAAAAAAGAAAAAGAAAAAAAANCGATCTCTCGTTGCGTCGAACCTCTTCTCTCTCTCTCTCTCTCTTTCTCTCTCTCTTTTTCTCTCGCTCTGCGCTCGGCTCGAAGCCGTCGCGGCAGTTCCTTTTTTTTTTTTTTCCGCGTTTCCGGCGGCCTCGGTCGTCGTTTCAAACAGTAGGCGGAATGTCGGAGGAAACGGGAGGGAAACGAGAGGAGAAAGGAAACGGGGCGAACTATCGGAGGTACGGTAATTAGCAGGTCAGCTTAGTTAATGCAAGAGCACCGGCTTAACGAATCGTAATGGAAAGTGTGATATTTCGAAAATACGTTTCACCGAGTGCTAAGTAAGCCGTGTACGCGTTTGATTAACCTTCTATACGTGTATATAGAACCGAGATTCGATGTCGAATAAAAAAGAAAAAAAAAAAGAACGAACGACACGGTTCCATCGAGCGAACCATCATCCCCCTTTTCCTTCGAATTTATCTTTCCTCTCGATTCCTCCAATCATTTCCGACCATCTTTGTACACCACTTTTCTCTCTCTCTCTCTCTCTCTCTCTCTCTCTCTCTCTTTTCTTTTTCTTCTTCTCTCCCCCCACCCTCCTCTTTCTTTTTCCTCGTCGAAAATATCGGCAGGGCTATCGAGGCGTCTTAAGGGAGGATCTCGTATTTACTTGGCCGGAAACACGATATCCCCGATATACTCAGGGCTGCCTGCCCACGTGTTTTACGTTGACCGTTAAAATTCGCCTCTCCGCGCACGGCCTCTTCCTCGCGACATCCCGTGCCTCGTCGACGCTGGTAGGCGGTGTATTATTTTTCCGTTGGCTCGCCAAATTGGCTCGCACGGATTCGATCTCGAATTACGGACACTCGATATCGCCGGAGTAAAACTTCCACCATCCTCTCCCGTTCCGTCCATGGACCGTGTCCGGAATATCGAAAAAAAGAGTTCCACAAATGTTCCATTGAGCGCGGATCGGTATAATCGGGACCAGGCCCCTGATTCTCGTCTTGTCTTTCGCGTGGAACCACCCGCAACTTGGTACCACGATTTTTCACGCGTCTGTTGTTGTTATTGTTGTTATGAACGGTGTACGTGTTCTGCGGGCAGATTAATACGGGATTCCAATTGTTCGAACAAATTTTAGTTAACGTTTTGATTATCATGGGATCGATTGATTTCTTCGAATTCGTGCTTTTTTTCTCTTTTAAACAGATATACACGCGTAGATAGATCTTCAATGGATTTCACAAGTGGAGTTCCAATTATAAGAAGGAGAGAGAAATGTGATCGAGTGTTACTTATCCACTACTCGTGGCAATTATTTTTACGAATAAACGTGTTTTAATATCGTCGTTAATTACCGATACCAATTATCATTTTTCCACTCGCAAAAATTGCAAATATAAATTACTATCTCTTGCGACTTCTTCGTATTTTATTCCTCGTATCTCTTCAAGATACTCAATTATATTCACGGTAAACACGAATATCAAATATATACATGTATACTTGATATTTTTAAATTTACTTACTTACTTACTTACTTACTTTCTTGCTTGTGAATGAAAATTATAATTTTGACAATGTTAACAATGTTGACAATGTTAAAATCGATGACACACGTCGATGGCGTGTAATGCGCTCCTTCCATATGGAAGGCTCTCGGTCCGAGGTCGTAACCCAATAGGCTTCCCGTAGGAAGATCATACTTCGGTACAAAAGCTGATCGCTACATCGCACGCGATCACGATGCACGTCATGGAAACTGACGATCTTCATAGCACCATTTGTTCGTTCGTCCTCTGCTTCGTCAATATTCGCACTCCCTTTAGGAACAAAGTGCACGTCTCGAACACAGGATTCGAGCCTCGTGTCGTCGAATCTTTATACGTAATTCGCGCAACAAACTGTATCGATCACAATCATTTTTTCTTCTCCTCAAAATTGATCTTCGAAAGATTTTCACATTGGATTTTGATGATTCGAATACAATATATCGTACAATCTCGATACATAGCGGAGATAATACATTAAATTATTAATTAAATGGAACGTTATAGTGGTAATAATTATCTGTAAATCAAAAGTTTCTTATACATTTCTTCGAAATTCTTTTTTCATCTTTGCTCCAATAATAATAATAATAATAATAATAATAATAATAACAACAAACAATTACTTTTCACCATTGACTCTTCTAACTTCGACCCACATCGATCTTTCCCAAAGCTATTCTCCGAGTGGTCGCAAAGAGCAGAGGTGGTCTCGTAACATTTCGATTAATTTCTTGATCGAATGAAGAAAAGAAGAAAAGGTGAAGAAAGAGGTCCACACCGCGAATTCGTCGGTGCGTGGAATCGGTGCTCCGCCATGCGGCGGATCTTTCAGAGGAAATGAGCCATCGACCGCTTTGTATCTATTCCCTTTTGTGGCGCGGACATTTCGTTTCGCAATCGATGAGAAGAGGTTAGTAAAGGGTTTCGAAAAATACACGTCGATACATGCCGACAAAAAGACGTTTTATTCGATTCAAAGAAAAGAGGCAGGCCCCCACATTGTGTTGGTTCGCGCACTCCAGGCGATGCCCGAGCACTCGAGAGGGTTGCTACGCTGTTTCGAGGTTCGAAGGGATGCACTAGAATCGGGTTGTAACGTTGCCTCCTCTATTTACGCCTCGTTTTTCCGCGTTTTCGACGCGTGGCGATTCGACACAAAGCCTATTGATGCTCACCCGCTGTACAATGTTACTCGTTAAATCTATTTATATATGAAGACATCGTTAATTCTCGTCATTTTGCTTGTTATACCGCGGTATAAAAAAAATAAGGTATTGAAAATTAACCGTACAGGATATTTCAAAATTTATTTCAAACATATGCAAATTTGTTTTAACGATCGATCGAAGTTTATTGGAGGGAGAGCGTTAATTGATAAAGGTTCGCGAACTTTCTTGCGAGATATCGATATCTGGAAAGTTCAAAATGTCAGTGACACGTGCGATTTCATACTTTGACGCCTCCCAATTAATATCTTCTCGTGGATTAGATTAACTTCTGAAAGAAATTCTTCTATGGTGGATTATGAATGTATTATTTTAATTTTTTTCAAAAAAATGTATCGTTCCTTGAAAGAATAATTTATACGTTTGATACTTTGCAATAATTCAATTGCAATATTCATTTGACTCGAAACAAGAGCTATGGCTTCTAATTTCGAAACACACTGTACGTTAATTTTTACGAAATTATAATTCGATGGAATATTTCGATTGATAATTATAAAATTAAATCTAATTCTTAAATATCAATTTGTTTCTCCATCGTGAAACTGTATCGCTTCTTTCTAACGTAATACATTTCTAATATTTCGCCTCTCTTATATTTGTTCACTCCTCATTTCGTTCGACCGTCTCACCGACCGCCAGAATTCTCACCAAATCGTTTGAGGATTCGTCGACATTCGTATAGGTGACAGTGTCCCGATTCTTCCTAATGCCCCAGTGCCCGAGCGGTCGTCTCAACACGAAGAAGCCGATCGCTAAGATAATTGCAACGATCAATATAAAAATACAAGCCCACAATACTGGATGAAATATCGATGACTCGTTCTCACATTCGAGTTCGTAACTTGGTATCGTGCTTAGTTGTTTGTTGGCGTGTTGAATAGGAGTAATGCACCTGATGAACGGAATTATTTAGAAATTTTTCAAACAACAAATTAAGTTCAAGCTCTTTGAATATTAAAAATTGCATAATAAATTGTTAAATATTATGTTAAAATTACTTAAAAAAAATTTTCAACTATATTAATATATTGAAACTTGATAATTGAAATAATTATTGTATTAGCAGTGACATCTGTGCTAAGTTCTTCGAAACATTTGGTTATTTAATATTATTGAATGAAAATTAATTCTCCATATTGAAGAAATTTTACTTACTTAATGTCACGACTTGTCGTGTTCAACATATTAAGCCACTGCATTTTACAATCGCAGTTCCAAAAATTATTCTCCAAATTCAAAATTGGTGTTCTCTTTATTATCGGCATGAGGTTATATTCCAACGTTTTCAAACTACAATCAGCCACCGAGAGGCGTTGCAGTCGCGGTAAAAGATGGTCGTTATATGGGAACATTTTTAAAAACATTAATTTTTTCGACCCATCTAAAGATAGTATTTCTAAACTCGTTAAGTTTTCAAAATCATTAAGAATTAATTCTTTTAGTTGTTTCATGTTATTCAATTTTAATTCTCGTAATCTCGGTAAATAAACACCTTGCAATCGTGATATTTGAGTGTTGGATAAATCGAGTTCTTCCAAATTGACTGGTAATAATGGGATTACACAGATAGGATTTTGCGATAAATCTAAACTGGATAAGTTATTTAGTGTTTTGAAAAAATCCCATGTAAAATGAAATGACGAGACATTTCTTAAATTCAAATATCGTAACGCTGTTAAATTCCAGAAAGCGTTTTCATGAATCCCATCATTGATTGGATTGTTCGCTAACGAAAGATATTCTAAAACCTGAAAAATATAAGTCGTTTGTAATATATTTTCTTTACTGATATATTATAGAAATACGAAATAGTTACTTTGAAATGTGCCAACATAGTTTCGTTAACGACTGACAATTTGTTCCATGAGAGATCGAGTATTTTGAGCTTCGGAATTCGGTCGTTCAAGGCGTTGTCGTCGATGTATTCGAGCCTGTTATGACTGACGTTTAACACTTGCAAATTATATTCATCTTTACAAAGAAAAAAGAATCGTTGAAGATGATTTTGAGACAAATCTAGTGTTCTTAAGTTCTCAAGATTAGTGGAACAATCAAGAAAACTGTCAAATTCATTATTTCGAAGAATAAGATCGGTGACATCTTGCAATCTGATCGTTGATTGAATGTTCATGAAAAACACTTCTTTCTTCAAGCCACGATTGGACAGATCCACCTAAAATAAGAAAAAAAAAAAGAAAAAATTAAAATTTGGAAAAGTGTTCTACATTTATTAAATCATTATGTGTTATTTCTTCCAACTATGAAAGGCGCGAAAAGACAAATCTCCGCCATGATATTATAGTAAGTGCCATTACAATTTAAAATTTCAAATCGCGATATATTACACGATGTATTATATTATGTATTATATGATAATATATTAAAAAAAAAATCATCCATTAATGATAAATTGTAATCTAAATTATTATAATTATTATCAAATAATTATTAAGTCGTTATTCGTGTCAGATACAAATATTATAAGTACAAAATTAAAAATATGCAAGACAATGCATACATAAATAAATGATAACGTGTCAAGGGATAATTTTTTTGTTACACGTTTAAAAAAAATTGTCACCAAACGATTATTAAACTGAAAATTAAAAAATTATATATATATATACCTACCGTTATCGCGTTTAAATAATTAATGAAGCAATTAAGAGTGAAAACAAATAAGAAAGTCGTAATAACTCCAAACCACATTGTGCAGGTAATTGATGATTATTTAATATACAAACAAGTGCGATGCGACTTCGATTTCGTTTGAATTGATCACGCTGAGGCCGGCTAGTTTCAACTATATCTCTCATACAATGATCCACTGGAATGGCAACGAATTCATTCGTGGCATACTCTGCTTACGATTACAATACCCAATTGAGGGGGGATCAGAAGGAGTTTCGCATTCTGATGCAGTTGCTTGACCGATTGCCTCTTTTCGCAATAGCCTGATTTTATAATTTTATGGAAATCTTCGCATTATTCACTTTTATATTTTCTTATACTTTGGAAAACATTAAATGTAAATTATTATACAATTTAAATGATTTAATGAAATTCGTATCTACCGTCTCTTCTTCTTCACACTATGCAGAAAGTAATCTTTGTTTGCGATAAATTTGATTGAAAATAAAAGAGTCACGTCATCGATATTTTTGAATTGTACAGTTTTTTAGATAGCCGATGATTTACTGATATTTTCTAAGTATATTATGAAAAATCCAATAGAAGTGGTTCATTAAATTCAATTTTTACAATATTATATATCCTTTGTTGAATGTCTTCCAATATTTTATAACGTTATTTCTTAATAAAAAATTCTTGACATCACACACCAATGATTCGCACAACACATTTGTTAATGAGAAAAATATTTTTTGTAGTTTAAATTGATTCGCGAGATGTGCACTGTATTAATCGGTTTTCGACCAATTTTTTAATAAAACGAGATTTTATTCTTGTTTGTCTTTTTTTCTCTTCTCTTAATCACTGTATATATTTTTTCAATTAATTTATATTCGCATTATGATATCGGCAGACATCCCGTCAGCGATACTCAGCGATGGAAGAATAGTAATGGATAAAAGAAAGACAAATATAGTTAGGATAATACAGTGATGCACCATTAATATCATTATACTCGAACGCGATGCACTAATTATTGGACAAGTCAACGGAAATGTCGAACCATATCTGACGAGTTTCCATATTCTACACGGTTATCTATATAACTACGATAATACATTGTGCTATATTTGTTTTATTGCAATTAATATAAAGTTCAATGTTTTTTCTTATTTTGTATTGATAATGTGAATTGTTTTTTTCATATTTTACCATTACTGATTTTTTTTCTTTATGAAATCGAAATCTTTTTATTTTCAAAGATCATGTCGGAATATTTTTTTTTTTTTCTAAAGCTATTACAAATTGTTATAATTATAGATGCATAAAAATGCCATTTAATAGATCTATCTTTTATCAGAAGTTTTATGCTTATATTACATTTCTTATATGATATTTTAAAAATGATATTTACGAGTAACAGATATTTACATATTATCCGTTTATCTTTGCATTTACATTTTATCTATTTAAAATATTAGTCAATGAAAAATTAATTTAATTTACTAAGAAGAATAGCATATTTGAACTTATTGTACAATAAATAGTATTGGTTTATCTGTTAATGAAAAATATCGCATGAATAATATGTATAATATAAATGAAACAATTCTTTAAAAGTCAGGCATTTATTCACGGGATCATATCTTGTTAGCGTTTGCGACGATTTATTGCCGCCATGATATGTGATATATAATAATAAATATTTCAATATTTTTGACGCGTGTACGATAACAATGACAAGAAGTTCATTCACTTTTTTGGAGTTTGAGGTGTGCTCGTTGCTTTAAACACCAATGGATTTGATACTCGGAATATGCTCGGTAACATTGTGGCTAGAGTACCGAATACTTCCTCTGACATACCCTAAAAAATATTAATATTTGTTTCAGGAAATCTTAATTAAACAGAGCGATAATTCTTTTTTTTTTTTTTTTTTTTTTAATATTTTTATAATTCATTTCACCTTAGGTACTAGAAATTGAAGATTCTTTAATTCAGCACCACCCCAAGATGCCATTTCTATCATAAATCCTTTCACACATTTAAATACAAGTTCTGCTCTTTTTGTACACCACGCAACAGTCATATCCTGAAATAATAAAATAAATCAATATATTTTTTAATAAAGAAAATATAAATAAAAAAATCTGATTCTTTATCAAAATATTAGACCTCCGACATTTCATGAACGAGGAGTATAGGGATAGTTAATGTAGTCACATCATTACAGCAAGCAGTTTTTAAAATATTTCGTAATCCTAAAATAGCCGGATGCCTCGAATTGATATCGCCTGTAAATTTACATAAATTAATAAGAATTATTATCAAATTAAAAAATCAATAACAGAAAAAATATACTTATTATTTACCAGATCGTAACGAATCGTTCACTACCATGTGAAAAATTACATGGACTTGTGCTAAATTTGAATGCCTTGTAATATAAACATCACCTGTTTGTAAACTCTTGCTACCTGTTGATCTTTTAGTCTATAAAAAATATATTGGTGGATTTAGTATAAAAAAAAAAAAAAAAAAAAAAAAATTGAAAAAAATATCGAATTATTTTAATTAATTTCTGTTTACTTGAGATTCGTTTGTTTCTTTATGATGAGCTTGTCTCCATGCAACTGCATCTTTCACATCCTCTCTTATTTTTTCCAGTTGTTCATCAATCGGTGGAAAATGAAATTCTGTCGTTAATTGACATATCGAACATAATTCTAGAAAAAAATTATTAATATTGTTAATTACATATAATCAAAAAATATTTTTAATAAGTATTTGTTATTTCAATACAAAGTAATTGCATTACCTTTCGTTATTCCCGAATAACTTCCTAAATGATTATCACTCAATAATACTAATCCACACAAATCATTAGAATATAATCCTAAAGCAGTCTGTAGCCTTTGAGGCGTTGGATCCATTCTATTTTAAAAAATTAAATTTAATTTAAATATAAAATAATCATAATATTTTTTATCATTTACTAACCCAGATTCACTCTTCTTTGTTCTACAAAAATCTAAAACATCACCAGTTAAAATTCTTATATTATGCATTTGTTTCATTTGAGAACCTAAATGTATGGTGAAACTTTCTTCCAATATAGGATATTCCGCCGTATTTTTTTCTTCGCTATGAACAAAATTGTCTAATGCCGGTCGTATTGGTGGCATCGATAGAATTGGAGAACCCCTAATAGTGACACGATCTATAATTATCAAATCCATGTCATCCGAGTATTTGTTCTATTTATATAAACGTACACTGGAGTCGGTAACATGTTAGTTTGCTGTTCTTCCAATAACCTCATGATCCAATTACGATATTGCCGTCTTTGTTCCAATTTCAATGCATCGACTCTTGATCCCCAATGACCTTGTAATAAACTTTGTTCTTCAAAATGTCGTCCTGCCATATCATTTATAGATTTTTCAGTAGAACCAGCCTCGAGAGCTTCAACAGCGACCCGCATTTCTTCGGTTTGTCTAAAATTCATTTTACTGATGTCTTTCTATTTCTTTGTATCATTTTTTCCTTACATATTTGTACAATAATGACAGGATGATTAATTGAGTTTCAAAAAAAATATTAAGACAATTATTTTTACAAAGTTGTAAATTAGATAATTTTTAATGCTTAAAAATATATTTGAGATTTTTCTATTATTTGCATCAGAGAAATATTATTTTTATGCAAATTTTTATATCTTTTAAATGATATTAAATAACATGCATGTTAATCATAGAATTGTGAAAAAAATTTGCAATAGTGATTAAATGATTGTATTATAAAAAAAAAAACAATTGCTTATATTAAGCTTGTCACTAATCTATATATAAATGTCATACATAATGCTAAAAATGATAAAATGATTTATATTACATATATGATTATATATATTACAAAACATTAATATCTGGATTTTAATATGATATATAAATAAAAAAAAAAAATAAGAAAAAAATATAAAAAGCATTTTTTATAATAAGATCAATATTAATACTGACTTTTGAGTGAGTTGTTCATAATGTGTATCTCTCATCTGAATAACTTCGGTTACATCTCTTCCAAATTTATGTTCTGCTTGAAGAATAGGTTCTAATGATGGAGAATGTACTAATCTGTGGTATGCAGCAGCAAATAATTCTTCATCTGTAGTTCCAATAGGATCAGCATATTCTACTGTCTTTTGTTTATAAGATTTTTCCCAATTTCTTATAATATCTTCAATATCTAATGTTCCTGATTTTGCATTTTCAAGATCTTTTTCTGCTTTTTCATCATAAAATTCTAATGTTAATGTTTTAATAGTGTTTTCCAATGATTTCAATAAATCTGATTCCACATAACATGGTAATTTAAAAGATGACATTATACGATGCATAAGTTCCTTGATAGAACCATGGTATGGTATTTTTAATGGTATTTCTAATACATATTCTTGATTTGTAGTACACGTTGGAAATTTATATATATATGTTTTCTCCACATATTCTTCCTCAGGCATATTCATATCTTTTGAAACAATTTTTCATTATATTATATAATTTATATATCTATTTTTTTAAATAAAATAAATTAGTGTTAAATTTATGTAACACTTAATAATAGGTATTTTTAAAATGTAAGTAATAATAATAAAGAAAAATAAATTAGACATATTTTATATGTGCTTGATTATTATGATAATAAGAAAGATCAATTTTATTTTTTTTTTTAGCCAATATTATTCAGAGGTCAATTTTCATAACATTCAGTTCATAAGATAAATGATAAACTGAGAAATATTTCTGATTGCACTTTTTATCTACATTCTATTAAAAACAATTATTTTCATATATTAATTGTAATAACTTTTGATTTGACTTTTAGATAAACTTTGCTATCAAACGCAAATTTAAAATTATTTTTATAAAAAGCCAATTAAAAACATGCAAAAAGATTTTGATATAATTAAAAAAATTTATATTCTACACTTATATATATTATTATATATATATATATATATATATATATTATTTACGCAAGAATAAGATATTCGTTTTATAATTTTTAATACGTATGAGAACGTACGAGAATACTGATAGAAAAATTATTGTTTTGTTTATATATATAAATAATTGTTTTAATATACGTTTTTTGTTGAATAAACGATTTAAGATTACAAGATAATAGTTTTAATAATTCTATTCAATATAAATATATTTGAAAATACACATATATAAATTAAATAAATATGAAAATAAATTAATATATCTTTTATATTTCTTTATTTATAACTTAACCTAAATTTTGAAAATTATACTTGCAAGATATCTTTATTTTCTTGTTTCTATTTGCCTTGTCGAATTATCTATTTTCATTTGGAAAACTCGCTTTTGCTTTGTTTTGAATAAAACATTTTAAAGAAACAGATGGAATTCGCACATAACACTTGCAGAAAATCTTTGACGCCCACATTTAATTAACAGTTTGTCCAACATGAATCTATATCATAGAATTTAAAAAATACATTTCTTGTTACATTATATTTCGAAAATATAAAATTAATAAAAAAAATCTTTGTAAAAAAATTCATTTTATAAAATACTATAATTTACTGTCTATTAAAAAATAATAAATATTGTGTAATAAACTTTCTACTATTTGAATTAATATATTATAATGTTGGCTATTATTTGCGAACTACACCGGTCGGCATAATTTTAGAACGTGATTTTGGCGGTAATAAAGTTTCAATATTAAATCGAATATTTTAACATGGTTGAAGATAAAAATCAAAGTGTAGAATTAACAGATCATGAAGCTGAGTTATATGATAGACAAATTCGATTGTGGGGTTTAGAATCACAAAAACGGCAAGTATAGTGTAATCTAACCTCTAAAAATTTTAAAGTCATAAAGTAATATATATTTCAATTTTATAAAATTAATTGAAAAAATATTAGTAATATTTCTTTATATGATTATTTTAGAGTAATCATTTAATCAGTTATATAAATATTTAACTTATATCTTTTGAAATTGATTTATAATATTAAATAATATTACAGATTACGAGCAGCAAAAATTTTATTAATAGGCTTAAATGGCTTTGGAGCAGAAATAGCAAAAAATATCATTTTAGCAGGTGTTAAATCAGTTACATTTTTAGATCATAGAAATGTCACAATTGAAGATCGATGTTCACAATTTTTAACACCCAAAGAATTAATAGAAAAGAATGTAAGTAAACAAAATTAAATATAGAAAGATATATTATTCACATTAAAGACATTATATTCTTAGAGAGCTGAGGCATCTATACAAAGGGCACAAAATTTAAATTCTATGGTTAACATCGAAGCAGACACATCTAATATTGATGATAAACCAGACACATATTTTAGTAACTTTGATGTTGTTTGTGCAACACAATGTACCATTACACAAATAAATAAAATTAATGAAGCATGTAGAAAGCATAATGTGAAGTTTTTTACTGGAGATGTATGGGGAACGTTAGGTTATACTTTTGCTGATTTAATGACTCATGAATATGTAGAGTAAGTAAATTTCTAAACATTGTCTAGAACATTATTTTATTAATTTAATTTATTAAATGAATTCATAATAAATTGAAACCATTTTATTTTCCAGAGATGTAGTACAAACTAAAAAAGTACAAATCTCAGAAAGTGGTGAACCTATGCAAAAGGAAAAATTTGAAAACATAACTGTAACCGAAAAACATGTAGATACCTTTGTACCTTTTAAATCAATTTTAAATGTTGCAAAATCTTCTCTTCCTAAAGACTCAGAAATATATTATATGTTACTAAGTAAGTGTTTCCTAATAATAAATTCTCTTCTAATAAGAAATTAAACTTCTTTTACATTATGTTTTTTTCTTTTTTTTTTTTTTTTTTTTTTTCATCTATAGTAATGCTCAATTATCGTGAAAAATATGGCAAAGATCCATCTCCTAGTGAAAGAGGTTCTGAAAAATTTAAAGTTGAAGCTTCTACAATTATTAAAAAATTTGATCTTGAGGATAAAATAAATCATTTAGTCGAGTACGTATTTATAAAAACGTTATATATAAAATATTAAATTTTCAATTTATTTAAAAATAAATTTAAAAATTTCAGAGGTGATATATATGCTCAAGTTAGTCCAGTTTGTGCTATTGTTGGAGGCATTATGGCTCAAGAGATAATTAAAACGGTTTCACAAAAAGGTGCTCCACATAATAATTTATTCCTTTTTAATCCAGATACTTTGTGTGGAAAAATTTTGAGATTGGGTCAATAATTTTTTTGCAGGATGGTATGTCGAAATACCTTTTTATATTAATTGTCAGGATTATTATTTTCATAATTATTCAGTCCATGTTTCTTACAAAAAAAAAAAAAAAAAAAAAAAAAAGAATAAATTAATTATCAAAAATAAAAAATACTACTGTGTTTACAACTATTTTCCTTTATGATTTATTCTTCAATGTAAAACCAATATTTATAAATAATTCCAAAAAGTATCTAAAATTTCTTTCATGTTTATCTCGGGAAAGAATATTTTCTGGGACTTTCCTGGCATTTAAATATCAATCTTTTGATTTACATTACATTTCAATATGTTCAGCTTCAAATCCGATAAAAATATATCGTCCGAGTTTTGAAGCTATAATTATTATTTGCATTGCCTATGTTCAATGTTCAACATATAACATATGTGTTATGTATTTTTCCTTTCAAAGCATACAAATGTTCTATTGGTAAATATACCGTTTTATCGCAATCTGCGCACACGTTCCAAGATATTTTCGTTTCCCGTGTACGGTCCTGGGATACGAAGAGGGTCCTCGCACACGTATGTGAAAATATGACTCACTTTCTCGGTTTCCGCCGGGGCAATTTGAGACCCGCTTTGCGGATTTTTTTCGTGTTCTCTCGCGCGGAAAACGCGAGTGGGAAACGTGAAATGGAAATTGAAAAATTGAAAAAAGGGGAGTCGAGTTGAAGCACGGCTCGTTATGCTTTATCGGCCCGTCGTATATTACCTTCGTACCACCGCGACAATCTCTTTTTTTATGCTTCGATATTATTTAAAACGTTGTACCCTTTCGTCCAATCTTCCTAATGAAATCCTCTCATTTTTCTTTCTTTCGTGTTTAATCGACTTTATCCTATGAAAATCCCAATGGCGCTTCAAATTTATACGTCGAATAAAAACAACGTCCGTTCCCGACACGAATATATATTTTTTCCTAACGAAACTTTCTCCTATCATCTTTTCACAAATTTATTCATCCGTCTCATAGACACTTTTTAACTCTTCATTAATTTTAACTTTCTCTCCTCTCCGTAATATAATCGTAATAACGAGTATTTTCATATATCCACGTTATTCCATACGTAAATCAACGAAACCATTACTTTCGTTCCTTTATCTTCGCGTGTAGGCGTTCGGAGAATTGATTCGATTTCCGCGAAGCAATCATGACTTATCGTCTTTCCCCGTGAAAACGATGTTACACATCCCAACCATCATCGTCGTGTAACGATCGTATGCAAATATCCTCCTCGGTTGCAGGTACTTAAACGTGTTCATGATCTCGTTCCTTAACGATGCGGCCACGTGCTTTCACGGGTGTCGAATTATATTTCACGACGGCGCTTTCACTCGTGTTCGAGGCTCGTTGAAAAACCATTAACAGAACGGAGACTCGTCGTATAGGAACGGTCACCCTTGCCCCTCTTAATTCGCGTTGGCACGCTCTTTCGCTTCCTCGCCGGGGTCCAGGGGAGGATGAACCTCTACGTGACTGATCTGCCGTCACGTATCCGCGAGCGCGACCAATTGTGTTGACTGGTGATTTATAAATTTAATAGTCCACCGTTATTCCGGCGGAAACGAGTATACGCCTCGGGAATTTTGCTTATGCGACAGATAAAAAGTTTCGTCGTTCCGAATGGAACGAGCAGGGAATTTGATTTATTAATTATAATACAATCTTCCTATCTATTGCATTCGAGTTCGATTAAACGAAATAATTATTGAATCCTTTTCTTGATAATTTTTAAACCTTCTAAATTATCGAATGAAAAGAATTTTATGTATCGTAGGATCTTGAGCGAAAAAATTATGGGATCGGTGCGTAATTGAAATAAATGAAATTGATAAGTTTGTTAAGACGGTAAAGAGGTTGTGGTTCGCGTTATCGATGCGGTGATACGGTTTTATCAGGAGAACGTTCGCTAAAGTTTCAAACAGTGGAAATGCACGCGGTCTCTCTAAAATATGATCGACCAGTGCAACAATTTATTCGCGATTATTATCTCACGGCAAATAGGCTAGAAGACGTATAGGTACTTCCCGTGACTCATTCAGGTAAGGAATTTACCCGAGACTACTGTCACGGTTCCCGCGCGTACATTCATTGAATCAATACGACACGTACTCCTCTAGGAATGTGAAATGACTGCGGAGGAGCAAACCGTGGAGGAAAACCGTGTTTCGATTCTAACTCGATATGCTCGTTTCCGCTGAATTGTTCGTCCCAGTGAAATTATCGTCACGCGAATGGCCCTCAATTTTTTCTTTTCTCGATCCATATGTAATTAATCTTGTGTGTATGTAGCAATTATTTTCTTAATTTTATTATTACTTTTCCATCGAAAAGATCTCACATTTCATACGTATCGCAATTGTTAGAAATATCATTAGAAAGGATCGAAATTTTCTTTGAAATAAATTCCAATTACGATCCAATTTGCCTTCAAATGCAAAGGTCGGGCTTTGAACTTGGTTCAGAGATTTGGTTCGAGAATGAACGAGAACTGGTTTGCGAACCCATTCTGGTTTCGAAAGTGCAGTTCGTAGGCGAAAGAGAAAAAATGGAGGGGGAAAGAAAAAAAAAAGAGAAAGAAAAGGGAGAAAAGAGAGGGTGCGCCCTTCACACATCACGGCTGCACACGGTGATTTATGGTGCGACGAAAATTATTGCCGCTGTTAAAATACCTCGAGGCGTATTTATTGACAGACACGCGTTGCCTCCGCGAGACTGTTCGTGAAACGAGGCGGCCCTCGAAACGACAAGACCGCGCTTAAGTCGGCTCTAAACGCCGGCTGTAAAGCCTCCCGGTAGAAACGACACGTAAGGGTGCCATTTTCGCCAGAAACGGGCCGCTCTCCTTCCAAATATGCAACTCCTTAATGGCTTTCGAATCAGGGCTTCCGGACGCTTCCTAGAAATAGAATTTTTAAATTCGGCAAAATATTTTTTCCGTACAGAAAAATTCGAGAGAGAGAGTTGAGTTCAATCGTTGTTGAATTCAATTTTTTTTCTATCGCGATAGAGATCGAACGAGAGTGAAAAGCAAAAATGGCACCTGGTATTTGCGTGTATCGTGAAGTTGGAAATAGATGTTCTCAGAAATGGACGAGTCAAAGAACGATTTTCGATTTTTTTGGAAGGCGAATGCTTGGCGCCTGGCGAATCGAAACGTCGCCGCCGGTGGTGGCCGACTAAAATTAACCTTTCCGGCAACAACCCTTGCGCGCAAACGTACACAGAGTATCGCCCGTGTTAAATCGCCCGTGCTTGTAATATTCGGAGAAGGATTCGGCACCGGCAAAAATTGCGTACGTGAGGCAACTGCTTACGACTTAGTTCGTTTCCTAGCCCCCTCTCCCTATTTATACCGGTCGCCGCGATTTCTCCTTCTTATCAGTGTCTTATTGTCGCTCCTTCGCTCCCTTTTATTAAGTTCCGCACCGCGGAATGAAACTGACCAGTTTTTCCGGTTTTCGTTTCACGATCGTAACCAGATTACCGATCTGTGTTGATGAACAATTTGAGGATGATACAATTTTACGATACGTACAATTCTTTTTTTTTTTTTTTAATTTTCAAAATACGATTTTTTACCGCTATATATTATCGTTGTTATATCGTTATTATTTGAAGATATCCCTGCACAATAAGCTCAAATTGTGAAAGGAAAAAAAAAAAAAAAAGTTGAAAATTTAAGGGTTAAGGGGTTAAAGGGCTTCGTTCGACGTTCGACTCGCAACGAAGAATGTATAGGTGAAATTCCGTGGAATGAAGATGGAAGGGCATAAAAGGGTTCTTTCATGGTCGGTTTTCTGACCGTAGGAACATAATATTTTTTCGTGGGACGTTAGAGGCGCGTGGATCACCGAGAACCGAGTGCATTAACAAAATAACGTAATAAAATCTGCCCTCGCGGTCGCTGCTCCCTGTCCCTTCCCCTCCCCCTCCCACCCCTTTTCAAGCCAACTCCTTCGCTCTCACTCTCCACCACTGTCACTCTGCTTCCTTTCGCTCATTTCTCTTTTTCTAGGTGGCCGCTCGTAAAATCTGATACATTGTGCGGCCAGTCGTGAAGTATTCATCATGCCCAGACACACCGAAGGCACGCAATCGAGGAAACGAAAGGATTGACCCCGTGGAACGTTCACCATTTAGCTTCTTCCTTTTCTTCCTTAACTCCGGAGCATCGATTTATGGGGTAAGTCATACCGATATTTCTCTCCATACCTTTTTTACGATGCGTGCACCGCCTTTCATACTTTATTCCATGATTTTCTTCGATCGCATCGAGATCTCACTCGCTCCTTGGAGACATTGCAATTTTTCGAGATTCGTTCGAGGAAATTTATTCGACTTTTCTTCGACTTTTTTCTGGTGTTGGTAAAATTTTATTTAATCGCGTGACTTAATTATACTTATACTTTATACAATCCGTACGTTCAATCAAAGTACGCTCAATCAAAGAGTTACAAAAGTTTACATTTTTCTCACCGAATCTCTCCATTTTCGAGGATATTTCTCCCGAGTCTTCCACTTATCATTAGCGAAAAGGTTTAAATCTTAAATCTCGGATCCTCCTCGGAGAGGAGGTGTTTCTCTCGAGGTAAAATCTTGCCTTCTAATCAGGGAATTCGGGACCCATCTCGATTCGAGTTTCAGATTTCCGAGCTACGATTCTCCGCGATATAGTCGGGAGGGGGGAGGTTTACGAGCAGCCAGTTCGGTGCAGTTCCGACAGTTTTTAGGGTCGAACAAATAGCTAATGCAAATACGGCTTCGTGGCCGGCATTATTTCACCTTCACGGCCGTTAGTCTGGGCCGAAGGAGGATCATCCTTCGCCTCGTTTGACCCATCGTCGTGCTTCCCATTGGCCCATTCCATCCCTCGTCTCGCTTTTGGGAGAGACATTAACAGAGCGAGAACTTAATGCTGTTCGTTATCAATTAAGACACGGTCGTTGCAATTAATTCCCGCGGCCGCTGTGGAGAGAACGAGAAACGGAAACGGCGTTGTCTTGAGAGGAGGGTACTTCCTTTGGATCCACTATCTTGGCACAATACTTGGGGACGAAGTTATTCTTGTAAGAGATTCCAATAATTCTTGTTGTAAATAACAGTGGGTTTTTGTCATTTGCACATAGTGGTCTCTATGGATGTGTTAATTTGGAGCTTAATTGTGGAACAATAAAATTATTTTTATGTAAACGAATTTATTGAGATTTGTGGTAAAATATGGTTATAAACTTTTAGAAAGTGATTCTTGTTGTAAACAACAATGATTTTTCTCATTATTTGTAGATAGTGATCTCTATGGGTCTATTAATTTGGAGAATTTGAATAGAATTATTTTTGTATAAAGTAATTGTCACAGTTGCGAATTTATTGAGATATGTGATAAAATGTGATTATAAACTTTTTAGAAGAGATTGAGGCAAGAAGAATTTATCCAATAATTTTTTATATTATAAAATTATTAAATATAACTTGTTCGCCTTGCCGCAGAGAGCGATAGATTTCACGTATCTATAATAGAATTCTAAAATTCAAAACACCGTATTACATATCAATTTTATCATCGATTATCGTGTTTCTTCGCTTTAAAAATCGAGAATAATTCCATACGTAGAAATTTTAAAATACAAGAAAATTCGAAACACGAATTGATGGAGAAATAAACGAACGAGGATGATACCCAAAGAAAAAGAAATAAAACGTCACGGTTTAGAGGATAGAGAAATGAATCGAGAGTTTGGGAAAATGACTCGGGGAGGGTTGAAATTGAATTAATATTCATAGCGGCGCGAGGTCCGGTTCGGAGAGCGACGGTGATGGAGCGACGAAATCTATCTTCGACGCGCGTCCCGTGGCCGGAGAACAAACCTGTAATTTGTCAGAGTGGCGATCTCTAAGCCCCGCCATTATAATTTACGCCTATGCACAGAGCAAACTAGAAAGGAGGAGGAGATAGATCGACTCGAGGTGTACTCTTGGCCCGATGTAACGCGAAATCGATCCCTCTCGATATGAAACAGAAGATACATCTCTAAGATACTCTGAAGAGAACGGGTAAAAAGTTAAGCGTCGCGTTCTTCGCGAGTTTCGTGAATTTAAATAGAAAATCTGTCAATTAGAAGATCTATTACCAGATGAAATCGGCGAAGAATGCTTGCTTTCCAATATCTGTCTCTTGAAATCTTCTCTTGAAATTTCATTACTTAACGATTTTATTTTAACTATGACATTGCTTTTGCAAAAAAAAAAATGGCCACTTTCCCTCGTAAATTTCTAAATATCGCAAATTATTCACCGAACCAATTCGCAACTTTCTCCATTCCCCCCAACATTCTTCCCGCGGTGACGATGATTTCCAATTTCATCGCTAAAACTCGACGAAAGAACCGTTCCCTTGTTAACCTCGTTACACCGCGCCGTTTCGTTTCTTGCCTTCCTCTCTAAAAATCGTTCGCAGAAAGCACTCGGATCCGCGACGAGTCGTTAAAATCTTTCCTTCCTCCGCTGGCCGGAGGATTTGTCATGTTTCTTCCCGTTGGTTGTCGGCGCTTTATGCCACTTCTTCTTAAACTCCGTTGAGAGGAGGAACTTCTCGACGAATCGGAGAGGAGGAGGAAGAAGAGGAGGGGGAGAAAAGAGGAAGCCTCGAGGGAAACAGGGAGAAAGAAAGGAAAAAAAAAAAAAAGGAAAAAAAGGATAAAAATCTGGCGAAAGGGGAACGCATCCGTTAAATTACAATGGGCAGATCGGTGGTCGCGTTACAATGTTTTCCTTCGAGCGTGCGTCGAAAGAGAGAGGAAGCGTATCATAAGTTACAGTGCGTGGCAGAGGGACTGGTGACGTCGGTTCAGTCCATATTTCATGCTTTTGTTCGATTCTGTCGGGCATTATTTTAGGTTACGTCGAGAAATGCTTTCTGGATCGCGGTTTACCCATTCTCCTTCCTCTCTCGCCGTTTCTTCCTCTTCCCCTCCTCCCCTGTGTGTCCTTTTCCTCTCCTTGTCCCCGTTCAACTATCCGCTTCCCTCTCCTCGCCTCTCATCCGCAACCGATAACCCGAAGAGGGAGAAATATGTCGAGTTTCCTGGCCGTATCTTGGCCAACCTCTCTAATGCAACCCCCGTGTTCGAGCCACGATTTCGATCCTCGTAACCATCGACACTCGACCCGTTGTTTGCCCTTTTCCTCTGCCTCTCTCTACTTCGACAAATAATATCCGAGAGAACTGCTTAATTCCAAAGTATACCCACCTTGTCGAGAAGATGGCTCGAACGAGGCAAGATCGATTCGTAATCCGATTTGAAAAATCACGATGGAATTTTCTTTTCTCTTGTTATTGATTCTTGTATATATATATATATATACATATAATATCCATCCATCCATATCTGTGAAAGACGCGCCATTGACTGTTTCGATCGAAAGAATTTTTATCTTCCTCTTCTTTTTTTTTTTTTTCTTCATTGACAATATACAATATTATACCCTTAATATCATTTAATCGAAACGACTCAATAGCTAACTCAATACCTAATACCAGGGCGGAGGGTAATTGACAACCGAGTTTAATCATCGCATACAACGCATACAATTTTCCCGCGTACGCGTAAGACCGCAGATTGGGCCGCGATTCGAGTGACACGATCCCCGCGGATCGTGGCATAAATCACGCAGGCCCGTTTATCCCGTTTGTCGACTGCGGTGATTCGGGGGAGGAGCAGTGGGGGGGGGGGTGGACAATAACGACCTAGTCCGTGGAATCGTGGCTAAGGTTCTTCTCGTCGGCCGTTTAACAGCCGCGATAAAACACGTCCTCCTCCATCCTTCTCCCACCCTTCCTCCCTCCTCTAGCGAACGGCTAAAACGGTTCTCTCGCCGTGGAGGAGGCTTATAAGAGCGCGCAACACCACTTTAAACCATTTTTCCCGATACAACAAGGGGTTGACTTATGGCTCGCGCGATCCTCCCCTCCCCTCCCCTCCCCTCCCTTCCTACGTTTCGAAAAAAAAAACGGGAAAGGAGACTCGCGGAGATTGCGGGGAGGACGAACGAGAAAGAGACGAGAGGAAGGCGAGAGGAGGGAGAGGGGAGAGACATACGCAGTGGCGTCTCGGCCGGGACGACCGAGGATATTGCATTGTGTTTTCTTTCGGGACAAATGATTTACCGTGTTTCCCCTTATATTGCCGCGAGCTACTACAACCCCGCAAAAACACGTAAGGGGTTGCGAGAGTCACCGTGAGTCGGCGACGGAGGGGAGGGGATGGCGTCGAGAAAGAGAAACGGGAGAGGGAGAGGGAGGGGGGGGGGTGAGAGTGGAGCGGAAAGGCGAGCCGTACGATATGGGAGGTATTACATATTTATGGGCTTCTGGTACGGGCACGGAAGCAAATTTCAGGCAAATCTTGGTAGGAAATAACGTTAGAGCCATTGGGACGTAAGGCCGTTTTCCTACACGACGAATATCGGGGAATTATTATTTTTTCCTCCCTGGGCGGTGGTTGGGGTGATTTGTACTTTCTTTTTTTTCTTTTCTTTTCTTTTTTCTTTTTTTTTTTTTTTTTTTTACGTACGTACGATCCTTCGACGGGTTGTTTATCGTTTATTAAAAACCGAATATTTGAATAATATTTCGCGAGGAAATTGGATATATTCTTCGCGTTCGTGTATTCTGGTCGCTTTAAAAAAGAGATTTTTTTTTAAGACGTGAGATTTAGGCTCGAGATATTTCGTCGTGTATATAATACAGAAACGTTGATACGTTTATTCTGTTCGCTGGGAAGGGAATTTTATATCAGGGTTTTGTAGTTTAATTCGCGAAAATAATATGTTATTTATTAGATTAGAATAGAAAAAGGTAAAGATCGATTCTTGATACCGGATATTATCGGTTATTAAGTTTCTACGAAAAGAACTACTAGAAGCAGTAAATTTCCAATATAAATACAATTCCAATATATAAAGAAGCATTAACCATTTATTTTGATCGCATTATACTCTATCCTCCCCCCCATGTAATTTATGTTCTCGGAAGCAAAGGAACGTATCGATATCTTTCATCACCGGTTTTCTTTCTCGACGAAACCATAACACGTCTCGTTTCTCACGCTTGGCGAGATTACAAATACGATAGAATTCCATAATCCAATGCAATGCATTATCCGAATGCAATCTTGCAATCATCGC